TCAATATTTAGATTTTTTTGCACCCTCAGATTCTCGATTTTCAGATAGTTGTATCTCGGCCAAATATTGTCTGATTCTAACAAACCATACATCAATGGAAAGATTATTTATTGATGATGTATAAATCTCAATTTTGAAAAATTGACCCTTATGACTGGTTTTGTGCTCCAGGGTCACATTTATGCACAGACACTTTCATCCAAAGAACAAAAGTAATTCACCTAAGAGCTTACAACAATCATAATGTACGGTAGCAGATTTATGAGACGACGATTAGGAAGCAAACTAGAGAAGAGAAGGAAGGGTGTTTTTCTTCTAAATGTTAGATTGTGGGATTGGGTGTTTTTTTTCCATGTCTGGCCAATTTCTGACTTGTTTTCCTGTGTTTTTGTCGTAGGCTCGTAAGAACGAGCTGGCTGTGGAGGACATGGACGGCGGCACCTTCACCATCAGCAACGGAGGAGTGTTCGGCTCCATGTTCGGGACTCCCATCATCAACCCGCCGCAGTCGGCTATCCTGGGCATGCATGGCATCTTTGACCGGCCCGTGGCCATCGCTGGGAAGGTTAGATGTCAACGCTTTGTGTTGTCTGTCGTACATCAGTAGAGTCACCAGTCGGTTCAGGAAGTGAAAACTCCATTCATTTTCTCCATAGGGACATTTTTAATAATGATGATAACTTACAAACTGTTAAAGACGGTTCTAGTGTTTGAGCTCTCAGGTTGTGAATTGATCGTATGTGCTTTTATTGAAAATATACATATGATATGAAAATACCTATGATTCTCAAAGCGGTCTCCACCAATCAGAGATGGGGCGAGAAAATCATGCCAGAACAGCACTTCAGCCACTGCGGAAGTTTATATTCTTCATGGGAAAAAAAAAAAAAAGATAACTGTGACTCTTTATCTGACTCTTGGGACTTTTTCTCATAATTGCAAGTTTATTTCTTACAACTGCGACTTTTTTTTTCTTAGGATTGCAAGCTTATATCTCACAGTCGCAGGTTTAAATCTTGCAATTCTGACATTTATGTTTTTGCTCAGAATTCTGACATTGTTTACTCGCAATTAATAACTTGCAATTCTTTAAAAAAAAAAAAAGGTATGAATTGTGAGTTTATATCTCGTAATTGCAATTCTGAGAATAGAAAAGTCAGAAATGTGAGTTTCTAACTAGAGATTGCAAGGAAAAAAGATTTTAAAAGTCACAATGACCTTTTTTATATTTTTATTCCATGGTGGAAATAAAAAAAGTGTCCATAGCCAAGTCCCATGAAGCACAGCAAATGACATAATCGAGTTGGTCTCCCTCCCTGCCTCCTATATATATATATATGTATGTGTGTGCGTCTGTTGTGTGTGTGTGTCTGTTGTGTGTGTGTAGTGTGTGTGTGTGATACAGAGAGAGTGTATGTGTGTGTGTGTGTGACACAGAGCGAGTGTGCGTGTGTGTGAGACAGAGAGAGAGTGTGTGTGTGCGTGTACAGGTTTATATATCCTGGTGGGGACTTAAACCTGAATACACACAGACTCATGGGGACTCATGTCACGGTGGGGACCTAAATTGAGGTCCCCATGGGTACAAAAGCTTATAAAACAGAATTAGTTTTTTTGAGATTGTAAAAGAGAGAGACCGAGTTTGTGTGTGTGTGTCTGTGAGACAGAGAGAGTGTATGTGTGTGTGTGTGTGTGTGTGTCTGTGAGACAGAGAGAGTGTGTGTGTGTGTGTGTATTTTGCAGCAAATTTAAAATATATTGTTTCTACAGATCTATTAAATGAATAGCTTTATATTTCACCATTGTTTTTAATTTGATTGACATTTGCAGTGTTTCATGGGATTGTAGTTTTTTCCCCCCTCGTTACACCCATTAACTGCACAGTCCTTGTATCTTTGTGTTTTGGTCTGATTTTAGAGTTTGTCATGTGATTCTCCTCGTAGTTGGTTGGTTTGGTTCACAGCTTATAGCGCTTTAACAAAGGCACCGGGAGAAACGAATGGAGAAGTGCCTCAGCAGCAGCGTGTGTGAGTGAAGCTCTTCTGTTCTCTGTGTTCAGGTGGAGATCCGGCCGATGATGTACGTGGCTCTGACATACGACCACCGCTTGATTGACGGCAGAGAGGCCGTGACCTTCCTCCGAAAGATCAAATCTGTGGTGGAGGACCCTCGGGTGCTGCTGCTGGACATGTGAACGCTCTCGGACCCTCAGCCGACTCCTGCCACTCACCAAACATCTCATCTCACGCACAAACCCCATCTGTACACTAGGGACGGACGCGTCAGCGGTAGAGGGATTGAAGGAGTGGGATTTGCATTGATTGGTTTCATGTTAAGTTGTTTTACCATGTGTATGTCCTCTGGGTTTTCACTGTATTATGAAGGAAGGTGGTCCTGTCATTGTATGTACAAGTCAGCGCACAAAACATGCCCTGAGCAATTATTTGTTTCTAAATGGAGAAGAAAGGATAGTAATATACAGTATATCATATTTAATCTCTTCAGCGTGAAATGATGGGAGCAGCTGAGCAGAAACACTATGTTCCAGTGAGTTTTTGTACACGAGACCTCGAGGCGTCCCAGACGATCAGATCCTGTCTGCCTGTGTAAAGAACCAAAACTATATGAGATTTTAAACAATAAAATCAATGAAATGCTGACGCTCTCTCACGTCTTTCTGACTCTTCTGTATTTCTGTTCAGCAGTCAGTTCACGTCACTACTCTGTCTGTGTGTGTGTGAGAGTGTGTGTGTGTGTGTGTGAGAGAGACAGAGAGAGTGTGTGTGTGTGTGTGTGAGAGAGACAGAGAGAGTGTGTGTGTGTGTGTGTGAGAGAGACAGAGAGAGTGTGTGTGTGTGTGTGTGAGAGAGACAGAGAGAGTGTGTGTGTGTGTGTGTGAGAGAGACAGAGAGAGTGTGTGTGTGTGTGTGTGAGAGAGACAGAGAGAGTGTGTGTGTGTGTGTGTGAGAGAGACAGAGAGAGTGTGTGTGTGTGTGTGTGAGAGAGACAGAGAGAGTGTGTGTGTGTGTGTGTGAGAGAGACAGAGAGAGTGTGTGTGTGTGTGTGTGAGAGAGACAGAGAGAGTGTGTGTGTGTGTGTGTGAGAGAGACAGAGAGAGTGTGTGTGTGTGTGTGTGAGAGAGACAGAGAGAGTGTGTGTGTGTGTGTGTGAGAGAGACAGAGAGAGTGTGTGTGTGTGTGTGTGAGAGAGACAGAGAGAGTGTGTGTGTGTGTGTGTGAGAGAGACAGAGAGAGTGTGTGTGTGTGTGTGTGAGAGAGACAGAGAGAGTGTGTGTGTGTGTGTGTGAGAGAGACAGAGAGAGTGTGTGTGTGTGTGTGTGAGAGAGACAGAGAGAGTGTGTGTGTGTGTGTGTGTGTCTTCAGTGATAATCCAAGTACAAATCAAGATGATTCACGTCTGTTCATACACACTCTCAAAATGTTGTGAAATCAGTTCAAGTGTTGAGTTGCACTGCGGCATCTTAATTTCATCCAAACTATTTAAAATGATAAACGGAGCTTATTCCTTCAGAAATGTAACAGGGTTGGAAATCTTACAGTTTAACATTGAGCAGGAGGCTTATAGTGAATTTAATGCTGAACAATTGGTACAAATACCAATTCTCAATTGATTGCCATGCAAAATCATTATAACAGGGTTGACCCATTAAACAATATAAAGAGATTTGTCTATGTATAGAGAATTTTTTTGTATTATTGTAGCGCTTTTATATTTTTGTTCATATTTAGAATTTTCTGTTTTTGTTTTTAGCTAAGGTTTTAGTTTTGTTGGCGGTTTTTTGTCGTTTATTAGTTTTTTTTAATCTATATTTTTTTATTTTAGTAATTTTAAATCAAAAAATTTGATTTAAAATTACAATAAAAGACAAAATTACAACAAAAAAAAACAATAAAAAAGAATTATTGCCTTGGCAACTTGAAATAAAATGTTCAAGTTTTTAATCTTTTATTTCAGTTAATGTTTATTTATACTTACAGGTAATGAAAATGTTTCTTTGTGGTTTTAGTTTTAGTTAAAGATGAAAACCCTGGTGGGGACACAACTTCAAGTCTTTTTAATGGTACATTATGCTGACTAAAATGTAAACTATGTAAAACACAGGATAGAGGTGGATCTTGAAGATGAGTCCAAACATCTTCAGCTCAGATAAAGAGGGACTGGACACTAATTTCTTACAATGGAGAATAAAGACAAAATGCTAGACTTTATTTCCATATATGTTTGTTTTTATCCAAATGAACGCATTCGCTAATAGAGCACAAAGGAGAAGAAAAAAAAAATCATGACAGATGAAAAATAGTTATTTGGGTTTGTAAAGTGTTTTTAAAAGTGCTTATAACCTTAGTTTTTTTTTCTTTCTAATGTGCATGTATATTAAGGAATACAAAAGACAGCTGTTTTGTTGAATGGTTGTGTGAATGCAGATGCTGCACTCAGACTCAGATTCACACGGAACTAACACTGGACACACATATCACTGATGCAGCTCAGATGAGGTTAATTTCTCCTTCAGAGCCAGTGTGTGTGTGGTTGCGTTTAACACGCATGCAAGGCTTCTGGAGAATATGAAAGTAAGTTACAGTGCAAGAGTCTCGTCCACGTCTTCATGCTCTCGGCCGGATGTGGTGACAAGAGCTTCTAGTTTGGTCACATGCTAAGGATGCTTTGAGGTCACTTGGTTTGTTATTCTCACGCCTGAAAGATTAGAAACCATAAACCTCCACTGCTTTACTATTCCATAAACACGTGGTTTATTTATTAATACCCTGTTTAAAAAATTCAATGATCATATTAATAAAAAGGATTTTCTGCTACTAATCAGACATGCATGTTAATAGATTTGTTCTGACAGATAATATGCATTTGTGTGCTTTCAGCAGCATTTCTCAGAAGGATGCACAATAAACTAGAAAGAAGTGAGTGGTTTTATTCAATGCAAATGCTTAAGAAACATTCAATCAGAAATGGAGAGGACAGAACACATGACTGAATGGTGTTCAGTAATATTGCATTTGTGCAAAGTAATAATGCCCCAAATGTGCGCCGGTTGACCCGTCTGCTCTCTGCAGCGTCATGCAGGTCCATTTCTGTAGGAAGTGTGTGAAAACTGGGACACTGAACTTCATTTTCCAGACATTTGAAGACAATTGTCCTTGATTTCACAGCAAGCGTGTAGAAAATTGCTGATGTGGAGAAATGACTCCTGCTGCCACCAGATGGTGGTAAAAGTACAACAATGAACCATGAATCCTCCTGTCCAGAGGACTTTGGGACTTTTTAACGCTGTGATCTGTTTCAGAGCTTCTCAAAAGGTTCACCCACTTTCATTGTTTCTGCCCGTCAAATTAAAATATAGAGTTGTTTTACACTCCCACAAGTGATGCTGAAAATGAATATCTTGATATCTGCACTTTCAAAAAACATTACACCTGAAACTCTTAGTCTTCCATGTTCAGATTAGCACATTATGGGTTATGCATTATTATGCATTATGGCCAAATAAAGATTCACAACATTGTTACTCATTGTGAAATATTTTCAGGGGGGAAAACATTCATAAATGTGCTCTTTTAAATTAAAAAAAGAGAGGAAATTCAGACTCAGAATGTAAACCTGTGCTCGTGGAGGTGTAGCGGGCAGAAGCAAACGGAGGGGATGAATACTTTCAGAAGGCACTACGGCGTCAGTGAACTGCTGAGTGTGAGCCACGGGATGGAGTTAAAGAACGGATGGCACTTGATGTCACTCACGCCGCCGCCTCCTGATCCGAGACGATAACACGCATCAAACTGGAGCAGCTGCAGGAAACAGGAAGAGGAAAACAGCAGCAGCATTACTATGGAGCAAATGCAAAAATAGAATAGAAAACAAGCATGAAAGAGATTTGAATGCATTTGAATGCAATGCAAACAAACTGCATTATAAATTGGAAGTCAACACACACAGTAAGGTCTGATGTCAAGCTAAAGAAACTGTTTAAAGTGTTTATTGTCAAGTTGAACTTGAGAAAGAAGCTTAGCCACTATCAGACGACACATGGATTGAGGAAAAGGCTCCTCTGAACTTGTCTGGTCCAAACCCAAAGAGCTATGCTGCGTTCAAGTTCGATAACAATTACCATGAATATTTAAGAATTTTATGCAAGCTCCCATCTGACCATTGTGACATCATGTAAACACAGAAATGGCATCGGCCTCAACAATTAAAGGACATCAATGAGCGACTGCTACATATTAGCGTCGGATGTCATTTTATTATAAGCATGCTCTGCACACTTTCTTCGTTTCCAAGAGCATACAGAGGTGGATTAAAGTAGAGAAAAATCATTCCCTGCATGAAGCATTTTTTAAAATACAGTGGTTCCTAAAATGCTTACAAAATCCAGCAAACCCAGTGCAGTGCTGCCCTGTAAACACTCAAGCTTTGTTCATCCTGTCTATCAGTTTGCATTGAGAGAGCAGTTACCTCAGTGAGAAGCGAGGCAGCTGCAGCGCTGAGGAATTCTGGGATATGGAGCGGAGTATGAGGGTGAATGCCTGTAGGGTGGCACTGCCACAGGGGCTGCAGAGAAACAGAGTTGAACAAAATGAAAACAATGGTCTCCTCTCAACACGATCAAGAAGATGTTTGTGTATTTTTAATTGAAGTAGTAGATTTTTGGGAACTGCTATAATAACTCAACAGCCTGAAATTTGAACAATTTTCAGTCATTCATAGTTTAGTGTTGGGTTTGTTCATTTTAAACCAGGAATACAAGGAACTGCTTACCGTGCCAGTAAGAAGCTCATATAGTAAAGCTCCAAGACTCCACCAATCACATGCCTCTGTGATTTTTGACGCACCTCCAATTTCTGCTCCAAATCAGTAAAAACAAATGCAACTACTTATTACATCTCAAGAGAACAGACTGTGTGTTAGAAATGTACTGTTGCAGTTTGATGTGATTGTGAAAAACCATTCACCTGGTGCACAGTACATCTCTTCCATTGCTTTCGGGTTAATTTCGGGCTGAACTTCTGTCCACAGTCCAAAGTACGTAAGGCACGCCTCCCCTGTGTGCAATATGTTTGAGCAACAGTCAAATAAGACCTGAGGTAAATCCAGTTTAGCAATAATGATGTCAATCCTGGAGTGATGGTAAGGCTAGTATTGGTTATGTTAAATCTGCCTTTTTAATAACTGAATCACGGCATTTTTACCCTTTTTGGGTCTTAAAGTATAAATCGCCATTAATTTCTTTTTATGGAAAAGATCAGTGTGAACATCTCGTTTTCATGGGTGAATTAATGATGACAGAATTCCTTTTTGGGTGAACATTTTCTTTACTATAACAGATAAACAAATAAGATTCTACTTATGATGAGTTAAATATCAATGCTCCCATTGTAAATGAAATTTAAGAGAGTAGTCAATCCTCCCGATCCACCTCCTTGCAGACTTCAGGTCCAGCCTGTCCCAACACACCTGACAGTAACTTTTTAGTAATCCTGAACACCCTGATTAGCTGTTTCTGGTGTGTTGGAGCAAGTTGCAGCTAAACTCTGAAGGATGGTAGCCCTCCAGGAGCAGGGTTGGCTACCCCTGCTATTGTTTGATTGTTGAGTTTAATTGTTAATCTTCAACTCTGGTCACTGTCCTGCAGAGTTTAGCTCC